GCGGCTATATGGGTTGCCCAAACTACATAAAGTCGGGGCACCTTTACCACCAATTCTGGACATGAGCTACTCTCCGTACATGCATTGCCAAAATCGCTGGCCGAGCTGCTTGAGCCGGCGAGACGAGAGACTCGTTTGAATTTTTGGACGCTTTAAGAAACTTAAATGTGATACACAAACAGCTGTTCTCACTTGTCACTTCTTTGTTTGCAAATATCCCCGTTAAGGAGACAATTGATTATTTAGGCGAATACATTGCGAGCAAATGCAAGCGCGTTGGCCTAACATTGGGTGACTTAAGGACGTTGCTTTACCAATGCACTCACAATGTTCAGTTCCGTTCCGCTAGGTATGTATATAGACGGAAAGATGCACTAGCCATGGGTTCACCTCTGCGTCTCCTGTTCACCGACGTTTTCATGGCTAAACTGGAAAATGGCTCTAAATGAAATGATTGAACAACTGCTACTTTATACTTGATATGTCGACGACATCATGTGCGTGGCGGACGAATTAGGAAACCAGATTGAATTGCCACGAAAACATTAACTTCAGCATACAACTGGAGTCGGATGAATATATATCTTTCCTAGACATACAAATGTCGCGCCGACCAGACAGAACTTCACAACATAAATGTATAGAAAAACAACCTGGGCTGGTCAGTATTACCCACTTTTACGGTTTTGTCTCACAACAATAAGATTAAAACCTAATCCGCTGCCTTACCCAAAGAGAAGTGAAAATTGGCTCGGAAGATACGATTACACAGGAGTTGTAAAAATAAAGAAGTCATTTTTTAACAATGGCCACCCCGAGTCATTCGGTGACATAAACATGCTGTCTGACCCGCGAGGTGTTAAAATCCTTCAGTGTAAAAGGATATCTTCTATCATTGTATTTCACAGGCGATAGTACCGACACACTTATTAGCAGAAGTGCTATCATGAACACCTATTTCGCAGGGCAGCTACGAATTTTATTCACTTCCACACCTGTGTTAACTCGACGACTGAAGGATAAACTGTCTGTGGATGCTGCCATCATCTTCATCATTGTGCACGTTAGCTGCAGGTGGAAAACACCTGAGCTGTTGTGCCGCAATACAAAAGCTTAGAAAAAATGAAATAGAGGCACGCCAGCTGAGTCACCAGTAACGCATGGACATCATTCCGGAAAGCTAACAGCCGGCTATTGTGCCACAACGTAGTCCTATTATCCCTCCTATGTGTGTATCAATTTCTTCCTGTGGGACAAGCTACGTGGGCTGACGTTTAGCCGTTTAGCCGAACGTGTACGAGAGCATCACCTAGAGTGATCTACTCGGGGAGTAGACAAAACTTGCACCACTGCTATTGTCGCAAATCTGGCCGATCATCATTATCGTCCTCATTATACACGTCAGCTAGAGGTTGGAAACACCTCAACTACTGGGCCGCAATACATAAAGGAAAAGGAAAATAAATACAACAGTTGCATATCAGCTGAACTACCAGCAATGGATGGGCATCGTTCCGGTAAACTACCAGCCGGCTATTAGGCAAACAGAAAATTTATTATGTTTTACGCTACGAAATGAAATCGTAGATGGAGGGGGAGGCTAAAAGGGATGGGGAGGGACAAAGAAACAGCAGGAACGCCACTGAGTTTGGCTCCTTGCCATGTCAGCAAGTGTATCCAGCCAAAGGTGTTCATCATCTTTTGCACTCCAACCAAGAAGCCGTGACGCTCCAACCGAGGCCAGCTCAGAAGTGGGCCTTCATTCCTCTCGACCAAGTCATCGCTTGGCCACCCCTCCTCTTCTTCCATCCACATCCCCGGCGAGCAAACAAAGCCCTTCGTGGAAGTCTATGAGCTGACATGCGCAACAAGTGGCTCAGCCACCGGAGCCTAATGCGTGAAAGGACGGTGCTGAGCGGCTCAGTTCCTTTTTCTGCCGTAAACAAGTCATCGAACACGCTCGTTACTCACGCGGTGTTCCCACCAGACGTGAGCCAAACTGCGAAGACATCGATATTCAAACGTACCTAGCCTCTTTATGTCTGCCGATCTAAGGGTCCAGGTTTCGCAACCATACAGTAAGGTCCAACGTACCACTGCATTGTGCACTCTACCCTTCAGGGCAAGAGTAATGTCGTGCCGCCGCCATAGGTGGCGAATGTTAGTAAAGCACTTCGAGCTTTTGCTATACTTTTTGTGATCTCGTCTTCGATCCCAAGGGCTCTGATACAACTTCCCAGGTAGTTGAATTTTTGGACGACTTCTAGCTGTTCCCAACCAACGGTCAGCGTAGGAAGCGATCCTTGTCAATCTTTGAGGAACGCTTTGCATTTCGATGGTGCAAAGCAAAGCCCGAAACGGCTGACAGCCAGTGCTAATCTGTCCAGCGCGGCTTGGCACGTCTGGGAGCTGTCACAGATGAGGGCAATGACGTCTGCATATTCTGTCAACAAGTCGTTCTCTTGGGAGTAGCTCCACACCTTCCCAGTCATGTCCTGTAAATGCAATCTCCATGACTTCGTCAATAGCGATGTTGAAGAGGAAAGTTGACAGCGGGCATCCTTGTCTCACACCGCTGGCGATATCGAAGGGTGGCGAGAGCTTGCCGTAAGCTCTCACTTTGGCCGATACTAATCACCCGATTGTTATCACAAAGGCCTTCCGTCCGACAAGCGCTGTGTCCCAGCCAGACAAGATCTGTGTTGACACCGAAAATAGCTGTGTCCCTCGATTAAAAGAGTTCGTTCGATACACTCGATCTATCGATTGTGTGCGAATTTTTCGCGCAAAAGGGCGTCCCCAAAAATATGAACATCCTTCGTGCTCTCTATACTCGAACACTACAGCCCGCGACGGTCTCTATAATACCCTGTCGTATAGCTTCCAACCCACAAGGGGCTTGCGACAGGTTTGTCAGTTTCCCCTTTTTGTTCCAATTCGGTGGTGGATCCTATCTTGAATGGTCCCTTTGCGGATTCTCATGATGTAGCGGTTGACTTGCTGCTTGGTGAAGGGTTAGTTGATCTAGATTATCCGGACGATATCGTTTTACTTTCCGACATTGTTGAGCCGGCACATTCAACCTTGATTAGCTTATCAAGAGTGGTTCCATATTTGGTATGCACTCGGAACTTTCAAGTTGTTCCGGAATCCACTTGAAAACCCTTCAACGCTTGTTACCAAGGAATTCGAGTTGGTTGATCAATCAACTTATCTTGGCAGCTGATCCAGCAATGTTGGCCGCATAGAAACTGACGTGAGCTCACGCATTGCAAAGGCAAAAGCTGCCTTCTTGAACTTGCGTCATCTTGGCCAACAGAAGGAAGTTCCTTCGGTTTGAAAGGCCGTGTATAAAAGGCAACGTTAAGGCCATTCTGCTGTATGTTAGTGAACTTTGGCCCTTTCGGTTTGAAGATCTGCGGCGCTTTCAAGTCTTGGATCACCGTTTTTTGTGAAGCATTGCTGGAGTCGGATGGCACCAGCGTGTCCGCAACGATGATGTGCGTAGACAAGTACTAGGTGGTAATAATCATGCTAGCTCCCTAGAACAACAGATAGCACTGAATAAGTTGCGCTGGCTCGGGCACGTGCTGCGCATGTCTGGTCATCGCTTACCTAGGAGAGCCTTGTTCAGTCTACCAGGTGTAAGGTGCCTGAAAACAAGGCGCGCCTTGTTTGGACCGGCGCGTCTGCTGCCGTCTCTTAATTGGATTGTCTGTTTAAGTGTGTTTGGTGCTGAGTTATCTTCGAGGTATTGGCTGATTATGACAGTGGCAGTAAAGCCGCAAGGAAGCTGTCTCGCCGATGCCGCCTTATCTTTGTACGATAGCCAGCTGTTTGTGACGGAATGTTGTCTACACAAGGTGTAAGCGCCTTGTCCCTGAATGTTTTGTTAGGGCATTAAGGTTTTCAGATAAGTCCTCCTTCTCTCCCTCTTATTCTTTATTTCATAGGTTCTCATGGTTGTATGGCAGCGAAGCATCAGCTCAAACGGCTTATGTACTGCTGTTGATGATGATGAGGAGGAGGAGGAGGAGGAGGAGGATGATGAGAATGATGTGGATGATGATGATGATTCCTTCCGATCCAAACTGATGAAATGCCGCTTATTCGCAGTGGCAGAGACGATCGCCATCCGTCTTCACAGCCCTCATCTATGTGTGCACAAGCGATTTGTGAGAACGCTGGCTCTCTTCTGGCCAGCTGTCGCATAGTCAATCACGTGAACCAGTCGAAACCCGGCTGCCATGTCTACTTCCTACTCTAATCTTAATACCTGCTTTATTCTGTTCTATGTCATCTATCTAAATGTGTTGGGCTTAGGCTGATGATGTATCCTCGAAAACGAACTGACACGTAGTTGAGCGCACGTTGACCCACATATGGTCACTAGTCTCCTAACTTGTTCCGCACCATTGGAAGGTGGCTTTGAACAACGCCTACTCATTGATCGGACGATCCGGAGCTCTAGCACTTGCTCGAATTCTGCGCGATCAATTTTGCGTATGCCTGGGGTCAGCCTGCAGTCTTTCGCGAAGACGGGCTGGTCGTTGGTTAATATAAATGATGCGGCATGTCTTCGCTTGTCGTTGTAGAACACGAAGCAGTTCGGAAACTCGAGAACTTTTCTGATAGATACTTTCCGACCGATGAGTTGGCACTAGCGTACACCGGACTTAGCGATGCAACGTCACCGGATATTCCAGAGACGAAGAGCCTCGTACTCTGATCGATAGGCCGTTGGCGTTTAACGTCGACGAACAAATCATAATGCTGAGGGACATCCATCTGGACATCAGCATTGAGGAAAACCCACTTGAGTGATCTAAGCGATATCTGATATTGTGCTGTCAATAACCACTACAACACTGTTTCCCGCAGGAAGCCATTCAATTGGCAGAAGCATTCTCTAGTGCGCATGTGATTTCCCTACGTTTGCATAAACGTGGCACTTTTGTTTTTGCCCACGCCCTCACATCATGTCTTTGTGCCCGTTAACAGATACCCCACGATGAGTTCACGTGACGCTCTTATTACCCTTGCCATGGACAATGCAAAAGTTCTAATAAACGTTCTCAAAGCGGTTCAGTTCAGAGATGTATGCTGTTTCGTTGAATTTCAATTGGGTGGAGCACTGCTTCTTCTCCTTAGCTGGCTACTGTTTTCGCCACTCCAAATGGGCTGAAGATAACCGTGGAAGATGCCAAGTGTATACAAGGCAACGCATTCCTTCAAGCTGAGCTGTTTCGTGATTATCGCATCTCGAAGGAAGTTGTGTCTTTCAAGACCAACCTCAGCGTTCTTATTGTGAGTGTTTTATAATCACTGTCTATACGCGAGGACTGCTTTTCAATTTTCGGAACTTCCAATCAACTTTCAGCGACTTCCTTGCTACTCACATACAAGGACCATGGAAGCACATTGGACTTACTGTAGGTTGCTTACTCAATCTTGCTAGTGCTGTTTATTTTCTAGGCTAGAGGAAGATGGTGTGGTTGCTGAGTGTAACGTTAAAACAATGGAGGCTTTCGAAATACTCGATTTTGACTTTTCTGGCTGTTCTTCATCGGATAAAGTCATTGTCAAAGTAAGTCACGGCCTTGCTGCGTCCACGGGTTTTTGTCATCATTGCTCTATTTTCTTTCGGCCGCTGGAAGTTTTCTGGTAGCTCACAGCTAAAACGCATGTCTGATGCCCTCTGCAAGTTATTAACGTGTCATTATTTCTAATTCCATGAAGGCATTGCGCCCACACTACATTTCCAGAGATGCTTGGATTGTTTGAGTTGCTTACAATTGTGTTATCTATAATTGCAGATATTGTCAATGCATTCTTTACTAACGCCATCATTGACACGGACGTGGAGCAGATCATCCAGCAGCTGCCGCCCAGGGAAATTGTCACTCGTAAACCACCTCGCCAGCTATGTAGCTGGGATGGCCTATACCAACAATTGCTTCCTCCTTACATCCAGCTTCCGTTTCCGTCCATAACGAAGGCTTTGCCGACTTATTCTTCAACGTGGTTTTAGAGTTACTTGAAAGCAAAAGTTCTAGACACATGGTTTTTACTCCAAACTCCAATATTTTATGCTCTTCATCTCACCATTACCAAAAACGCATTTAGAAGATTGAAAGCGGTTTAGCGACTCAACTTTAGTACAAGTTGATGCCTCCATTCGAGTTGTGCTCGGTATAGAAGCTCAACGCTCGCTTCGAGACGAAATATAGTACAAGATTACCGTATACATTTGACGTCTTCTACTCATGTGAGTAATTTCTTTTTTGTTTTGTGCAACGTCCCAGTAACCATAAGTTCTGGCAATACTACTGGTGGCCAGTATCAACTACAGTGGCATGATATTGGCCATCCTCTGAGTGGATAAGACGTCTGCCTTGTCCTCATCCGCCATGTACGACGCAGGAGCATCTGCTTGTGGCACTATCTATCGTCACCGCACCAGTCACTGGATATCCGAGAGGTCGGTGAACCTGTTGGAATCTAGAAAACACCTCCCGGCTGGCTCTGAACACAATGTGACCAGACGGGCTATTAGGCGTGAACTAAAGCAGAGCCTACGTGCTGACAAGGAAGCCTCATGGACCAGTAGAGATCAAGAAATGGAGGAGACCGGAGCAGTAGGCAATTACCGCAAGCTCTTCCAGGTAATCCGCGCCATTGGTCCCAGAAAATCAGGCGTCAGTGAGACAATCAGAGACAGCGCGGGTGCGCTGATACACAATAAGGAGCGCCGTATGGCTCATTGGGCGGAACACTTTCAAGATCAGTTCAGCTGGCCCCCTGCTTCCGGACCTCTTCCTACTCAGGTGATGCAGGACGAGCCATGGGCAGTTAGTTTAGAGCCTCCGTCGAAGGCCGAGGTCCGAAACGCGATCACAGCCCTCAATCGTTTTCGTGCCGCTGGCCCAGATCCCCTCACACCTGCACTATTTAAGGATGGAGGTGAGGTCCTCTGCAAAGCACTGACCTCCCTATTCAAACGTATCTGGAAGGAAGAGAGTGTGCCAGCTAATTGGAGCGAATCGATTATAGTGGCAATATACAAGAAGGGCAGTCGCACAGACTGTGCGAACCACAGGGGTATTAGTCTAACGCCAGTTGTGACAAAATTACTGGCCTCGATTCTCGTTCGTCGCCTCACTGCGGAACGGGAATCTCGGATTAGGGAAGAGCAGGCCGGTTTCCGCCCAGGACGTGGTTGTATAGAATATATATTCACTTTGCGGCAGGTGCTAAAGCAGCGCCACGCAGACCGACAATAGCTGTGCTTCTCGATTTCAAGAGTGCGTTTGATCCAATCGATTCTGTACGAATTACTTTCGCGGAAATGTGTTCTCACCAAATATATGAACATTCTTCGTGCTCCATACTCGAACACTACAGGCCGCGTCAAGATCTATAGTGTCCTATCGGATAGCTTTCCGACCACAATTGGCGTTCGTCAGGGTTGTCCGATTTCCCCATATTTGTTCAACTTCGTGGTGGATTCTATCATGGAGTGTCCCTTGCGCAATCTCACCATGTAGACGTAGAAGTGCTGCCTGGTGAAAGGTTAATTGATCTAGATTATGCGGACGATATCGTCTTGCTTTTCGACAATGTTGAGGTGGCAAAATCAACCCTGAATAGCCTGTCCAGAGTGGTTCCATTATTTGGTATGCACTTCACACCTTCAAAGTGCAAAGTGTTGCTGCAGGACCACCAGCCACTTGAAGACCCCTTGACGCTTGCTAACAATAAACTCGAGGAGGTTGATCATTTCACTTATCTTGGCAGCTGAATCAGCAATGCTGGGCGCATAGAAACCGACGTCAGTTCACGCATTGCAAAGGCCAGATCTACCTTCATGAACCTGTGGCATCTTGGGCGACAAAAGGAGTTTCTCCGTTTCAATGGCCGTGTATACAAGGCCACAATGAGGACCGTCCTACTGTATGGTATTGAGACTTCGCCCCTTCGGTCTAAAATCGGAGGTACGTTCAATTCTTTGCTTATCGTTGTCTGCAGAGCATTGCTGGTGTCGAATGACACTAGCCTGTCCGCAACGATGATGTGCGTAGACCAGTACTAGGTATTGATAAGCATGCTAGCTTCTTGGAACTACAGATAGTACTGAATAAGTTGCGTTGGCTTGGGCACGTGCTACGTATGCCTGGTCACCGCTTACCTAGGAGGGCCTTGTTTAGTCTGCCAGGTGCAGGGTGGCGCAAGGCTCGAGGTGGACAGAAGTTGACTTGGCAGCGGGAAATGAAGTCACTGACGACCAAACTGGGTGCCGTTGTTCTGTCTCGCGTTCCGGGATAGAGTCTACTTGACTCGCCTTGTGCTTGGCTTGCAGTAGACACCATTGGCGCGTCTGCTGCCGTCTCCTAATCGGATTGCCTGTTTAACGTGTGTTTGGTGCTGAGTTATCGGCGAGGTGATGGCTGATTATGACGCGTGGCAGTAAAAGCTGCAAGGAAGTTGTCTCGCCGATGCCGCCTTATCTTTGCACGATAGCCAGCTGTTTGTGACGGTATGTTGTCTACACAAGGTGTAGGCGCCTTGGCCGTGTATGTTTGTTTCGGACATTAAGGTTTTCAGGTAAGTTCCCTTTCTCTCCTCGTTATTATTCTTTATTTCACATATCCTTTTTATGGCAGCGAAGCATCAGTTCAAATGGCTGATTTACTGCTATTGATGATGATGATGATGAT